AGGCTGATTCACGTGAAATTCACTTTTATACCCTTTGGAGTATTTTTTCCAACCTCGCAAAAATCAAGTTAATCGGATATCGAAGTCAAAAATTATAATCAAAATACTAAAAACGTGTCAAATTCTTATCTTCTATAATACTTTTCAAATTCAACTTTAAATGAGTTTTTTTTTCTAATTTGAACTCTTATAAGGATTTAATTGCTATCATATCTTCAAATCTTTCTATCTTAATCTTGATTTTTCAATCCTTATCAATTATAATTCTTCTTATAGTGATTAATTTACTTGTCTTATCCATTATCACTTTAAATCAACTAATTTACCTGCAAAATAATTCAAACAACTAGAAAAAGTATCAAACTAAAAAATTAAAGAATTTAACACATTTAATCACAAATATTATGCAATTAACCAATAATTAAATATAATAAAATAGTAATTTTGATGGTTAATCAGTCACTCTTCCTTATATTAAGGAATTTAATGAAAATGATATTCCCACTAAGGGTAGGCCAACACAAATGAATAAAGAATATCCATAACTTTGTAAAAAAGAAATTGATTCATTAATGAAAAAATCATTAATTCGAAAAAACTATTCACCATGCAGTTATGCAATTTTTTATGTTAATAATGCAGGAAAGGAACAAAGAATTTCAAACATGGGGTCATTCTTAATCATTCCCATAGCGGAGTTTTAAGAGCTTCTTGATTGCATTTGCAATTATGCTAGAGAAGATATCTTTAACTTTGCTTCTAGCTAGTAGACTCAATATTGTAGAGTTTTACTTTGGTGTTTGTACTGCAATACTATAGAAAATCAATTAATTGAACACGTACCTATCTTTTACTAAGAATGCAAGGGCTAAGCTGAAATTTTTCTGAATTTCGTCTTATTTTTGAGACAAATAGTTGGTATTTTGACTAGCGTTTAGAGTAGTGGATGGAAAATATTGTTTCAGATGAGTTCTGTAACCTCACGCTAATAAAATTTGGTGGTGTACTGGTAAGAACCAGATCAATGAATATTATCCACCACTTCATGATTTGAATGAATTTTGTTGGGTTAGAGATTGTTGATGTGAATTTACAACATTTAATAGAAATTAAATTTAGTTACCAAACATGTTTATTATTTTTGTTTTTAGAGTTTCTTAAACAAAAATTGCAACTTAACAAGTTTTATGTTTCAATTTTTTATCACAAAAAAATAAAATAATTTTTATTTTTATTTTAAAAAATAAAAAATAAGAAACATTACCAATCGTACCCTAAGAATATCTCCAACAACTATTGTAAAATTCTAAAATAGTTAAAATTTAACTAATTAAAGACAAAAAATTATACTCCAACAAAACATATTTAGATGTTTTAAAATAATTTTTTGTTAGAGAGTGTCTTGTACAAATAATTTATAATTTTTTTCTTTCTTCACGACCTTTTTCACCTTTTTTTTGTACATTCGTTGTCTTTTTCTCAATTTTCTCTCTCTCCAATGGTACAAAAGTATACAAAATGAGAAATAATATAAAAAAAAATAGTTAAAATATAAAAAAATATATTACAACGTTTATTAAAAAATTAAGTAGTTGAAATAAAAAACATTATTTTTTAGGCAATTAAATTAGTTTTTTTATTTTTTGTAAAAAATAAAAAAATCGCATCATCGGTCTTTGACGAATAAAGATGCATTTATATCGCTCCCATTTGTAATTCCGAGTGTAATCATGCTCAAAGTAGCAGACGTCCATCAATACTCCAAGCCAGGATGGCTTACCCTGTACATTGCCAGTCCATTCTCTCTCTCTCTCTCCTCACACAGTTTTTTTTATGGCACATACACACAGTTAACTTACCTAAACATTACCCATTCTGAACCCTCGCAGACATGGCAGATTACAGAGGACCTATCTCTCTTTCACATTCTCGAGACCACTCCAACACCTCCGAAGACGAAGAGGACGACCACCACAGCCCTAGAACTGCCCCTCCCCGCGTCGGAACCACCAGTTACGATTCTCCGTCAATGCAAAAGATCACAACCACGTCCAAAATTTGTCGCGGAGAGGTTTCNTTTTTTTTTTTTTTGCGAGAGGGAGAAAGGTGCTTGAGTATGTGAATAATTAAAAAAAATCAAAACTCTAGAAAATTAAAAAATGTGGAAGAAAAACTTCTCAAGTTTTCTCTGCTAATTGTTTGATATATATATGTGTGTGTGTTTGTGTTTATTTATTATATAATTATATATTATATATTGTATAATGTATTTAGCATATATCTATATAATAAAATAGGAGTGTGTTTGAATTTTATTTTAGTTATATTTTTTCTCTTAATTTATCAAATTTAATTTTTTATTATTCATATTCTATTATACGATTTTGAAATTTTTGTATATTCCCAAAAATTTTTATACTAACTATTAAACAAAATAAAAAATAAAATAGTTAAATTTTTATCTTTTTTTTAGAATTTTATGATTGAGATTGATTTTTTAAGTGATGCTTGAGAAATTAAATTTTTTGAAATTTATTTTATTATAATTTCACTTATAATTCTTTAAATAAAGTAAAAGTCTTTGTCAATATATTAATTATATTGAAATTTTATAATAATTAAAAATTAATTAGGTCAATTAAGATAAAATTTAAAATAATATTATATTATGTATATTATCAATCATAATAAAATTCAAAAAAAATTAAGTTTACTTAAAAATACATTACAATATCTATTTTAACATAAGATCTTATTAAAACTTAAAAAATTTATTTTAACTACAGAATTATACTAATGTAAAATAAATGAATTTTAAAAAATTATACATACAATTATTTTATATCTTTGAAATGAAAGGGTTAAACTTTTTAATGAAAAGTAAAATATACAAATGAAGGTATAATGTTATTTTTACATATGAGATAAATACACTGCAACAATGTGTATTTCGTCATTGAAGAGTTTCTTTGATAATATTTCTGTCGTCATTAGGTGGCCACCAAAAATCTTGTTAGTAATTGTCTATAGTGACAATCTAGAGTAATTGTTATTAATTCTATACTTTTGTAGTGGCAACACTCTCATTACTAAAATAATACATTTAATGACAAATAAAATAGTCACAAAAAACATAAAATATGTGTTATTAAAATAGTAATAATGTCACTGAAAGTACCAATATAGTGATGAAAATATTTTGTCATGTTATAGTGACAATATAATGTCGTCTTTTGAGGTCTACTTCCAGGGACGAATTTTAAATTCATCACTAAGTGTGAGTCTTTAGTGTCAAATTGAATTTGTCACAAAATATAGAGCCGTTAATTATATTATTGTTAGTGAAGAACAAAAGTTTGTCATTAGAAGTTGAGATTAGAGACAAATTCTCGTTTCGTCACTCAAATTCTTTCAAAAAAAAAAAAATATATATATATATATATCAAAACAATTGACTCTTGAAATAAAACCAATAATATATTATGTAGGCATTCANATATATATATATATATATATCAAAACAATTGACTCTTGAAATAAAACCAATAATATATTATGTAGGCATTCAAATCCAAACGATACATGATAATTAATATACTAATATAAAATTAAAGAACTTAAAATTAATTTTTCACATGTCATCGCTAAAAAGGTATTATTAATGACAAAAATAACTTGATTACTAAAAAATTTGTCACTAAAGTTCATAATTGTTATAGCAACATTAGATTGGTTGAGTTTTTGAAATTTTTTTAACACTTTATGAAAATATAATGATACATATTTTTTTAAGGATAATATAATTAATTAAATTTTTTTACAGAAATTAATGAAATAATTAGAAGAGATGTTATAGATAATTTAAAATTTTAAATACAATAAAATATGATGATAATTTAAATATTTAATTGTGAAAAAAAAAGATGGAGAGTTATATGTAATTTTTTATAAGAGTAAAATAGAGATTTAAAATTTTCTTATTTTAAGATATTTGTATTAATAGTATTAATATGTTTTTATTAAATAAAAAATAAAGGTAAGATTTTGATATTCTAATGGACTTTTTTTTTTTTGGAAACTGGCATTAATGGTTTGACTGACTGGATGAGGCTACTGAAGCTAGAGGAAACCATAGGCGTTGCAGCTGTTGGTGTTTGCTGCCACTGAACTGATTTGATGCCCGTTTTATCGGTTCATCAGAAATTCCATGTCAGGGTTATATATAATAAATACCTCGGGAAGGGCCAATTTTCCTTTACTCAAAGCAAAATTTCTGACTGCAAGGGCTTTGTGTGATAGAAAAAAAAATAGGTAATGGAATGATTATCAAAATTTTTTATTATATCTCAGTCTCAAATAATGTTATACAGTTTTTTTATCATTATTTAGGATAAAAAATTTGATAAAAAAAATTTGTTAAACATAACATTTTCCAAAAAAAAAAAGATACGATAGGAAATTGCTGCATTCTTTCTTTCCTTTTTTTTTTTTTTTATATATATATAAGTTGGAGAAGGCAATGCAAAATTTGATAGGTAATTTAAANTTTCCTTTTTTTTTTTTTTTATATATATATAAGTTGGAGAAGGCAATGCAAAATTTGATAGGTAATTTAAATGGTAACAGAGATAAATTATAAATTTAAATATTTAGAGTTTAATTTTTGATAATTTTTTTGGGTCAGATAATAAAAGATTTATCCTTCATAAATATTTCAGTCTTAATGTGAATAAATTTGTCTTTGATTGAACCAAAAAAATAATTAATTAAAATACACGTAAATTAGTTTGAACACAATTGATAGTTGCTGCAAAAAAAAGAGAAGACTNATATATTACAACGTTTATTAAAAAATTAAGTAGTTGAAATAAAAAACATTATTTTTTAGGCAATTAAATTAGTTTTTTTATTTTTTGTAAAAAATAAAAAAATCGCATCATCGGTCTTTGACGAATAAAGATGCATTTATATCGCTCCCATTTGTAATTCCGAGTGTAATCATGCTCAAAGTAGCAGACGTCCATCAATACTCCAAGCCAGGATGGCTTACCCTGTACATTGCCAGTCCATTCTCTCTCTCTCTCTCCTCACACAGTTTTTTTTATGGCACATACACACAGTTAACTTACCTAAACATTACCCATTCTGAACCCTCGCAGACATGGCAGATTACAGAGGACCTATCTCTCTTTCACATTCTCGAGACCACTCCAACACCTCCGAAGACGAAGAGGACGACCACCACAGCCCTAGAACTGCCCCTCCCCGCGTCGGAACCACCAGTTACGATTCTCCGTCAATGCAAAAGATCACAACCACGTCCAAAATTTGTCGCGGAGAGGTTTCGACTCGAAAGCCTCGAGGTCGACCACCTGGGTCAAAGAACAAGCCCAAACCACCAGTCGTGGTGACCAGAGAGAGCGACTCCGCCATGAAACCAACCGTTCTCGAGATCTCCGCTGGGTCTGATATCATAGACATGGTGGTCCAGCTCGCCCGGCGACGCCATTTAGGTTTCACCATCTTCAGTGGCTCTGGGTCTGTCTCCAACGTCACGCTCCGCCACCCAGGATCTCACGCGCCATCTCTGACCCTCCATGGACCCTTCAACATCCTCTCTCTCACCGGAACTTTTCTGGGTTACTCTTCTTCTTCATCATCTTCTCTCTCTTCCACTTGTTTTGGTATATCTCTAGCAGGGGGTCAAGGACAGGTCTTTGGAGGAATAATTGCCGGGAAGGTCACGGCGGCAAGTACAGTGGTGCTGGTGGGTGCTACATTCATGAACCCAACGTTTCATAGACTTCCCGGCGAGTTTGAGGAGTCTGAGAATCAAGCAAAGCCTCCGCCTAGTGGTGGTGGTGCAAGTGAGGGTGGATCCAATACAGAGATGTCTATGAGTGTATTTGGTGTGGCTGCACCACAGCCATTGAACTCATGCCAGGTCTCTTCTCCTGATCATCATGTTTTGCCTTGGGGTCCCACGTCTCATTCCCAACCTCCTTACTAAAAGCTGAAAGACAATTAATCAGATTCTTCACGTGATATTCATCTTTTGTTTTCTCAAGATCTATTTAATGTAACACAAACTCACTGGCCATCTCTACTTGCATGGTTTTGCNGACAATTAATCAGATTCTTCACGTGATATTCATCTTTTGTTTTCTCAAGATCTATTTAATGTAACACAAACTCACTGGCCATCTCTACTTGCATGGTTTTGCATAGGGTAAAATGCTGATTTTCTATATCTCGTGTACGAGATTGTTGTTATGGGTTATGGGTATTGGTTTTATGCGTTGATGGGGTCGTATTGGTTCATGATTTTATGGAGTTTTTCATATATATATTGGTTTAATTCACTGATTTTTGGTGTAATGCAATGGAATTTTTATTTTTATTAGTTATCAACTATGTGCGTGTTTTTTTTTTTTTTGCGAGAGGGAGAAAGGTGCTTGAGTATGTGAATAATTAAAAAAAATCAAAACTCTAGAAAATTAAAAAATGTGGAAGAAAAACTTCTCAAGTTTTCTCTGCTAATTGTTTGATATATATATGTGTGTGTGTTTGTGTTTATTTATTATATAATTATATATTATATATTGTATAATGTATTTAGCATATATCTATATAATAAAATAGGAGTGTGTTTGAATTTTATTTTAGTTATATTTTTTCTCTTAATTTATCAAATTTAATTTTTTATTATTCATATTCTATTATACGATTTTGAAATTTTTGTATATTCCCAAAAATTTTTATACTAACTATTAAACAAAATAAAAAATAAAATAGTTAAATTTTTATTTTTTTTTTAGAATTTTATGATTGAGATTGATTTTTTAAGTGATGCTTGAGAAATTAAATTTTTTGAAATTTATTTTATTATAATTTCACTTATAATTCTTTAAATAAAGTAAAAGTCTTTGTCAATATATTAATTATATTGAAATTTTATAATAATTAAAAATTAATTAGGTCAATTAAGATAAAATTTAAAATAATATTATATTATGTATATTATCAATCATAATAAAATTCAAAAAAAATTAAGTTTACTTAAAAATACATTACAATATCTATTTTAACATAAGATCTTATTAAAACTTAAAAAATTTATTTTAACTACAGAATTATACTAATGTAAAATAAATGAATTTTAAAAAATTATACATACAATTATTTTA